CTCTTCGTGTCGACTCATACTGAGTCTCTAAGCCTTCATTTATCGACACATCATGTTTGAGGTCGACACGTCCTAATCCTTCCTGCATAATTATGCGATTTTCTCTGCATTTCATTACGGGATTCATGTTTTTAACCCTACAAACTTAATATAATCATGATAAATCATCACCTACAATTATCCTATAATACCAATCAAACAACATCGGGACATCATTATTCATCTAAAATTTATCAAATCTTCATCATACATCATCATATACATCCAATTCAAGAACAAGACAGCAATCACCTCTAACCCCACATATCAATCATCATGAACCCAATTATAAAGTCAGAATCCCACCCTTACCTTGGATTGAAGGTCGCTCTATAATCTTCCGGTCAAATCCTCGTTCTGTCGTTTTTCCAGCAGCTTCACGTTCTCCTTCTCAATCCTTATTCTTCTACTGCTTCTTTCTTTTCTACTCTTTCTAACAACAATAAAATAACTTATTATTCTTTATTCCTTATTGGGCTTAAAACTAATACACCCCCTTATTACTTCTATTCCTTCGAATAAGCCCACACCAAATAATATTATAATTCTAATATTATTTCTCCACTTAATAAATAAATCCAATTAATCATAACACATCTTCTCACATATTCCAAAAATAATTTAATTAAATAATTAATTAAATTATGAGCGTTACAATGTGCTTGCTTCGATCGTGTGCTATCGGGTTCTTCGCCAGATTAATAAATGATATATTGTCAATCTTCATGGTAATTTCTCCTTGATCTTTACTTGTAATCTCTTCTACCAAGTTCACCATCCATGTTGCTTGACATGCACAAAGAGAAGCAACTATGTATTCTGCTTCGCACGATGATAATTCTATTACTGGCTCCTTTCTTGAACTCCAAGCAACTGGTGCACCACCTAGCATAAACACATATCCTGTCGTGAATTTTCGATTCTCAACATCACTACACCAACTCGAATCAGTGTTTCCTACTAACTTGCATTCTTTTCCCTTATCAATTGCAGGAAATAAAATACCATAGTCGGGAGTTCCTTTGGGATACCTCAATATCCCCTTCGTCACTGCTAGGTGTGATACATTTGGCTTCTGCATGATTTACTTATCATACCTACATTGTATACTAAGTCAGACCTTGTGTGATAAAGGTATCTTAGTGACCCAATAAGTCTTCTATATTGGGTTGGGTCGGCATCCTCTTCTTATGAATCTTTCAACAGTTGTAGTCTTGGTTCTACAGGTGTCGAAGTCGAGTTGCATTATTCCATCTCAAATCACTTAAGAATTTCTCCAACATATCTTCTTTGATGCATCATCAAATCTCTACTACTCTTGTAGAATTCAATACCAAGGAAGTATGAAATGTCACCCAGATCAGCCATTTCGAATTTTTTGCTAAGATCACCTTTGAAGTCTTTGATCTCCTTTTTGCAACTACCTGTTATTAACAAATCATTGACATAGAGACATAGTATAAGCAATTTACTATTGCTTCTTCTTACATATACTCCATATTCAGTTGCGCATTTCACAAATTCCTACTCCCTCTATTTATAGATTTAAGTTAGCTTGCTCCCTAAGCCAAATTCCAAAACTATAAAAACTCAAAATACTTATTTTGGAACTGAATAAAATATATCTATTTTAAATCTAAATAAAATCTAAATTTAAAACCAAATTAAATATGTGTGTAGCTTACTTCGATCCACAAGCTCTTCGACTGAGAAATAGTTTTCATCGAATAACCTACTTCGACAATCTCTAACCCTTCGACACACATAATTTCAACACACAGAAATTATAATTTAACATAAGAGTCCTCGATTTGATAATCACTGGATATTTTCATTTGTTAAACTTACTCCTTGAATGTGACAAAGGATAAACACAAGTATTAACTCACTATTTTGAAAAAAATTTAAGGATATTGTTTGATAAATGGTTTTTGAAGAATTTTAGAAGAAAATATTTTAGAGGGTTGTGTTTATATCTTGTAATATATTTGATATTTATAAAAAATAAATTAAAAAATAATATAATTTTATATATTAATGTAGTATATTATTTTTAAATTTTTTTTAAAATATCAAATATATTTAAGATATATATATATATATATATATATATATATATATATATATATATATATATATATATATATATATATATATATATATATATATATATATATATATATATATATATATATATATATATATATATATATATATATATATATATATATATATCACCCCAAAATCTTCTCTAAAACCTTCAAAAACAAACTTTCAAATAAACTCTAGAAAATATATTTTGAATGCAAAGATGGCTATTGGCTAACACGACTTATAGGTTTGATTTCACATTTAAAGCATTTATAATAAATCCAAATGTCTAGAATTGATTTTTATATGTTTAATTTTTATCAAATAGAATTGATTTTTATATGTTTAATTTTATTGTGTAAAATTAAATATTCTTTTTAAAATTGATATTGATTAAAGCTAGTATTTGTAGCTTTTTAAAGTGTGTGGGAAAATTTTGAAAATTTTGGTGAAAATCATGGTGGATAGAAGTTACACATACTAATTTTTTAAAATCATAATGAAAAAGTATTTTAAACATGCGAAAGTGGTGATCCACGTATTATCAAATATGATTAAGTTAAAGGTGACTTTTACATTATTCAACTTATTTTTTTAAACTCAAGAGTATTTAGATGAGATGGTGAAAGATCTCTTCCTAATTAATCAGAGAACTTAGATTCAAATTCAACTTATACACGCATTGGTGTTAAAAATTTTAAGAAGAATTTGTCGCCTATTATAATCCTACGAGACTCAAATTTTTTAGTTTGAGTGGTGCTTTTGCAACACATCCAAAAGTTAAAAAAAAAACATATAGATATCCATAACTAGGGTTGTTTATGATTCAGTTTTGTCAGAAAATTTGAACCGAATCAAACCGAACTATTATATAAAGTCATTCGAACTGTATCGAATCGTTTCAATTTTTTTAAAACCGAAGTGAACTAAAAGTTTTGGTTTGATATAACAGTTCAAAATTCTGAACCATACCAAACCATTAGATGATAATTTTTCCAAACGGAATCATTTGTTAAAGAACCGAACCGCTATATTTGATTCTGAATTTTTTCAAATAAAAAACTATTTAAATTTATTTGTAGCATTTTTTTATAAACATTTTTAATATTTTTTTTTATAATTTTTTAACTAAAAGATATTATCTACATTCACAATCAAAATCACAAATTAATTCAAATCAAAATCACAAATTTGAATAAAGAGCTTATTTATAGCTTATAGCACAAATGTTTATAAAATAAACACTTATGAATAAGGAATGATCTTGATCCTTTAACATGATTGCATTCTAGTTCTTATATGTTTTGTAACTTGTCCTCTCAATTAAGATTGTTTATGATATAGTTCAATCAAAAAATCGAATCGAACCCTAATAAAATGTTATTAGAACCGAATCGTTTTAATTTATCTAGAATCGATCAACTGAACAAAATTATTGATTTAGTATAACAGTTTGAAATTCTAAATCGTACTAAATTATTAGAAGATAGTTTTCTTAAATCAAACCATTTATTAAAGAATCGAATCGTAATTGATTATATATCAATCATACTATTTTTTCATAAAATTAGACACATTCAACGACAAAGTAATCTCGCCGAGCATATCAGTTTTGATCAAAAGTCCACAATCTCATAAATTCAAATTCATTCTCCCAATCAACGCATCCATATTACTCTGCATCTAAAGCTTACCTTCTTACTTCTCCTTCAAACACAACTCAGCCGATTTGATCGCATCTCTGAGCAAATTCGACACAGCCTGCAACTGCTCCTTGCAAAGAGCATTCTTCGAGAAACATGGATTGCAAGGTAAATTCAAAAACATTAACGAAGTATGTTGTAATATAGAAATTATTATGTTCCATCTACCAAAAAAAACCTTTAACCTCTTTAGCTTTATCAAGAGGAATAGGAACAAGCTTCTTTACATGTAACACTTGTATAATTATGTACGTAAAAAGAATCATTAAAACAAAGAATACTAACAAAAACAAAAAATCAATTAACTTTAAAGAACCAGTAACTGATTTTAACTTAATCTTCAAACTTCACTGTTCTCTCTGTAATAATACAATATGCAAGTTGTGGAATGCTTCAACAATAATGAATCTCTATGTAATAATACAGTATGCAAGTTGTGGAATGCTTCAACAATAATGAATGAAGACAAGAAATTCTGATCTTGAGAAGACATGTATTCTCATGTTTTAAAACTAATGGTTCGGTTTTAGTTAATGTTTGGTTAATTGCAATTTGATTCGATTCTAGAACGTTAGTAAGTTATTGGTTTGGTTCTTTCTTACGTTTTTGGCAATAAAATCATTGATAAAATTCAAAATAAAAATGTGGAAACTTTAATCAATCGTACTCTGGTGGAGTTATGCATTGTTGTCTCGTTGTCATGAAAGTTGCAGTTTAAATTATTAGAGACACCCATCGTGGGTCATAGGACAATAACAACATTGTCGCCAGAAGTTAAAACTTGACAGATACTAATAATTTCCAAGCTTGAAAACTTAGAAAAGATAACTATTAATAACATTAATACTACTGATTAACGATTTATCCCAAGGAAATTATAGACACAAGTGACACTAAAGAGAAGAAAAAGAAAGCCATATACCCCCTACCCTTACATATAAGAAATACATTTAACTAACTCTGAATTCTAAACTACCCATATATGATAAATGTCTTCTAAACTAAACTAGTAAAATACCCGTGTGAATGCACTCGTACGAGTGATGATGCGCATTTGTGTAGAACAATATCTCAAGCGATCTAAATGGTTAGTGAAAGCTGCTAGCTCTGCTAAATTACAAGTCTAATAGCTCTGCTTGAAATCCAAATGCCTGGTGAAAGCTTGTCCTAGTGAAGTACATGGACCCATTCATATCGTCCTGGTAGAGGTACATCATTCACTACATCAAAATTGTACCTGCAAAATTTAAACAATATACACTGGCATGAATAATTGAATCACTAATTTAATCCTCAAAACTATTGGAGCTGGATGGATTAAAAGAAATACGCACTTTTCCATGAATATTGCTTGTTGCTGCTTCTCGGCGAACGCAAAGAACTCATCCATTTCATAAGCTGTTGGAATATTTCTTTGAATGTGTTTGTGAATTATTCGGTGTGTCCTTTGTCTTGTGGTTGAACCAGGGGTATGAATGGAACTTGAATCCCTTATTAAACTACAAGGTGTGCTTTCCCTGGTGCTTCTGTTAAACAGAGAATATTACTATTAAAATAGCTTAGCAAAGGAATCTAATAGGAAAAAACATATAAAAAGAAATGGCAGTCATAGAAAATGCAAATTCTGGCTTGTAATCAAAAGTTTCTGCACCAGAAATGCTGACAGAAAATTAAAAAAGGATTGTTTTTGCTCACACAAAAACTCTTCAAAATGGAATTAGACTAGAGACAAACTCCTACTCTAGAAAAGTAACTGGCATTTATTAGAGACAAGCACTGACTCAGTGGGCTCAAGCAACAAAAAAAATACAAAGAAAGAGATAGCCAAATCTTTCTCATTCACTGCAAAAACCAAACAGGAATCCAAAACACATCAAACTGCAAATAGGTCCCATGTATATGACATGCCTTTGCTAACGCGAAGAGTCATGAGAGTTATGGCTGCTGGTACTACTGAAGTCAAAATAGTTTCATACTTGCTCATGAAAAAACACACATACGAGGAGTCAGTAAATTGAAACCAGGTAAATTTAATTTTAAAAGTGAACGGTGTCAAATTTTCATACAATGGTACCAACTTCCAGGATGAAGATTGGACACCCCCTAATGATACAAATGGCCTCAAAATATGAATCAATAAAGATTGCTAAGTCCTATAACTCATTTTCCATTTGGCTGGTTATGTAATCAATTAACATGAAAAAAGATTGAAACTTTATCAACATCCTGCATTATTGATAGTACTATCCATCATTCATTAATGTAACGGGATAGTTATAGCAAATAAACTTTACCATTGAAAAACTATGTACCAGAAACTGAGTAATGAAAGAAAAACACAGATATCAATGCAGCAAATAAAAAAATACAATATGCAGTAAATAACTATACGGAGAGGTATGCTAGTTGCAGAGAACCTATCACAAGTCACAAAAGTTACAAATTTGAGCACTCATTTGTACCAACACAACTTTACACCTCACTACCAGATTTCAGAGTAAGAAACCAAAACAATCACATGAAAGCTTTAACATTAAAACGAAAACCTAGGGACTAAGACAACACTAGGCTTATTCAATAACAATAACAATAACAATAATAATAATAATATATTATTTTTGTTAAAAAAAATTAAGATAGTGTTATACTATTATTATACAAAAAGTATAAGCAAAAGATTTGTGGCTTTTGAGAGGAAATATATAATCAGAACAGCAGTGGTATATAAAAAAATTGTAAAAAAACCCTTTTATTTGAAAAACTCTTATTCTTATGAAAAAAAATAAGAATATATAATATCAAAAAATTGTAAAACCCTTTTATTCAGGGTTTATTTATAGCATACTTTTTTAACAAAAAAAATAAAATATAATAAAATTGGAAAAGCATAAGATAGAAGCAAAAAAGTTACAACTTTTTTGAGGCATCATAGAAAAATTGAAAACCCTATTTTCTACTATGGTTTCAAATTTCCTTCAGACAAAAATAAAAAAACATGAAATTACAAAAACTCTTAAAACCAAAGCAACACTAACATGCAAAAAAATTATTTTTTTTACAAGTAGAATAAAGAAAACACAAAGGGGGAAAAGGAACATTTTTATGTATATAGAAAACTGAAAAAAGTGAATAAAAGTCATAACAAAATTGAATAGAAATTAGTAACACGCAAAATTGAAGTAATTGAAGATTGTATATACCTATCTAAGCCTTCAAACTCCAAGAAATTTTCCCCAAAAGAACCTTCGATGGAAAAATCAAAATTCTCCTCTTCAGCACAGAAGTTTCCCAATGTTTTGATAGAATCATTCTCCCTTCTCGGTTGCGGCGGCGGAGTGACCTTCCGGAGGCGACGACTCCGGAGCTGAAGGAAAGCAGAGGAGTCGGTATTTTGCGGGGGCGACTTCTGGAGAGCTAGGGTTTTAGCTCGTGTCCGGACACCGACGGCAGGAGCGTGAGACGGAGCTTCCATGATTACGGCGGCGACGTCGCCGGCGGTTTTGGGTTTCTTCATGTACTTGCCCATTGAAAAGAAAGATTGAAAGTTGAAAGAGAAAAAAGTGATTTTGGAGGGTAAATTGTGTTGTGTGAGAAGAGAGAGGGAAAATTGGAGGGAAGATTGTGAATTTTAGGGTTGGGGTTTTAGGGGGCAACGCAATGTATATGTATCTTCTCTCTCTAAACTTTTTTAAAACCACTATTCTGATTTTGCAATTTTTTTAAGCTTAATTTTCGTAATGATTTTTACTTTTATTTTAATTATTTATTAAATAGCATAAAATGTGTTCCCTCTGTGCATCGTTTTTTATTTTATTTTGTAGGCACAAAAATTTATTTAAATTCTTTTATTTTTAAACTTAAAAGATGTAATATATGTGGACTCGTCTTGTCACGTCTATATTTTTTTGTGGGGCAGGCTAATATTTTAGGCATGCACCCTCAACTTTGTTCATTCTGATCCTTTTTTTTTCTTCGGAATTTTGTAAGATGGACAAGCTCGTTTACCACCCGTAGTATAAAGTCTTATATCTCTTTTTATATTTTTTATAAGAATTTTCACTAAAGGTTTGCTTAATGATGAGATAGTGAAAAGATTCATTTGAGAGTTGTGTTGTATTGGGGATGTGTTGAATTTATTTTCTTAAGAGCATAGTTCTCTTATGATATTTTATGATAGATTTGAAGGTTGTAAGTTAAACTTGTAGAAAACTTGGTATAAGTTTGTTGAGATGAACTTGTGTAAAAGTTCTAGTTGTTTGGATTGATCCTATACAAAAGTTTAAGTTATGAAAAGGTTGTTTGGATTGATCCTGTGTAAAAGCTCAAGTTGATTTTAGGTAAAATATTAAGGAAAAACTCTTGATGACTGGAGTAGTTCGTGTTGTTTAAGGTCAAACCAGAATAATATATGGTATGGTCTTTCTTACCATGTCTCTTTACTTTTATATCTTTTATATTATTCATTATTATTTATCTATTTTGCTCCCTATTCTTTGTTCGTATCTTTTTATAATAAATCTTTTTAAATCAATCATGTTTGCCAAAAATAATTAAAAATGTTTATCACAATTCATTCCTCCCTCTTTTGTTTGAAGTCACTTGTTCAACACCTTCTTTATCCGATGTTAATTTTATTCGATACATGTGGACTTTTAGACACAAAGAAAAATCTGATGAATCTTTTGAGAGGCATAAAGTTGAACTTGAGGTGATGGTGTGTGTCAACATGTTAGCATGGATAGTGGAAAGACCTTTAGTTGGTTGTTAAACCGTAAACCTTTTGAATTGTGATCAATCTTACTCTCTCTAAAGAATGACGCATTTAATAGTTGGATGTTTAAAATGAATTTCTACATGGTGAACCCAAAGAAACATTTTACATGTATCAAGTGTCAGGGTTCAAGAACCTGACTCGTCCATATCATGTTTTTCTTTTGCGTAAATTACTGTATAGTCTCAAACAAGCCTTTATAGCTTGGTACATATGATTTGCATATTATGTTTCATCTATTGGTTTCTTCCAAAGCATGTTTGTCAACTCTTGCTTCATCTATCACAAAGACACTCATATGAAATATCTTTTTTAATATGTCGATGACAACATTCTCACTAATTCTATCGACGATCTTGCAAATCTATCATATCACTTCTTAGTTCTAAATTTGATATGAAAGGTTTATGACCACTTAGTTATTTTTTAGGCATTGTTGTCACTTGACACGTTGATGGTCTATTCTTGTCTCATAAAGAGTATGTAAAATAAGTTAACGAACGTGTTAATATGTCATTTTGTAAGTAATTTCACACCCCAGTAGATATAAAATTGAAGTTTTGAACCAAAACCAATCCTCACATTCACAAGGAAGGGTATTTGTTATGCAATACATCATATTTATTTATTTATGAATAATTTGATGGCTTTTCACATGTAGGATCTTATGTGCGTCATGTGTTATATTAAAGACACCAGTCAATATGGACTGGGTATTTATCCATCATTCATTACATCTTTGATCTCTAATATATATATATATATATATATATATATATATATATATATATATATATATATATATATATATATATATATATATATATATATATATATATATATATATATATATATATATATATATATATATATATATATATATATATATATATATATATATCGAAGATGATGCCTAAATGTGAGGAGATTCACTACTGATTATTGTATCTTTCTTGGTGATAACTTACTCATTCATTCTTCTAAGCGTCAAGCCATATTATCACACCTCATTGCTAAGATCAAATATTATGGTACTACAAATGTGATGTATGAATCTTATTGGTTATGTAACATGCTTTTAGAGTTGAATTTTCCTATTCACAAAGCTACCATGATCTATTATGATAACATTATTATAATATATCTAACCGATAATCCAATTCAAAATTAATGGACAAAAAATATTGAGATGGACATTCACTTCTCGTATGCGAAAAAATATCATGAGTTCAAATATGTATCCTTCGTGTGCCCTCACATCATCAAATTACATATATATTCACTAAAGATCTTTCTTTGATGCTCTTTTAAAATTTCAATGACAATCTCAATGTTGGACATTTTATTCCTTTGTATCCTGACATCCAAGCCTTAATGTGTTGTTTAATTGGTCACAAACTAATCAAGTTGTACATATATACTAAGCAATGGCTAGAAGCTTTAGCCAGTTAGCTAAAGTTATTTTATTTTATTCCATTGTAATTTTTTGGATGATAATAATAATATATTTTGTTTTTTAATTGTGGGTAAGAATTCAATTATTAACATATTTTTTACTTTCAATGTTTTTTTTCTTCTTTAGTGATATTTAGAGTTTATGATTTGGTGTATAATCTTCAGGTTTAAATACACTTTTGATTCTCAAATTTTGATTTTTAAAATTTTTAAGTCTCTTTTAAAAAAATCAAGTATTTGATTCCTATATTTAACATTTTTTTGGTTTTTTGCTTCTTTCATATTTGTATAGGTGACACTTTAATTTATGACATGACACTAATATAGAAATGATCATCTGTCATCATGTTACACAATTACGCCAAGTCACATTTTTAAAATAAAAATAAAATTTATAATATTATATTCCCTTCTAGTTCACATTCTAGTTTGAAGTCCTTGTGAATTAAAAACTATGAGGACATAGGATTATTTGTTTATAATATTCCTTTTTGATGTTTTGGGCATGCAAAAACTCCACAAAATTCTTGAAGATTTGACTCAAAATATCAGAACCAAAAATTTCTAAAACATTCCTTATAATAATTACTTTGAGGCTTAATCGATTATGCGATGATGATTTTGAAGATTTCGTGTGTTCTCCATCAAACTCTAATTTGATTTGTGTGGAGGAAAATATACAATTTGATTTTATCTAAAATTTGAAATGCAAAGAGCTTATAATAGATTAAGCTAATCAGTTATTTTCCTTGGTTTCAACCTCGTTGGTCTTTTTGGACTTTGGGTTGATATTTAGCTTTTGCTTATTACTTTTGACACATTTTTCATTCATTTTGCGCACCTTTTTTCAAACATGCTACAAACTCAAACATTATATTAGTAATAATAATTTTTAATTGACAAGCAAATAATAAACCAATTATTTAGAGGGTTAATCAGAGTTTTCCAATTTTTCAACCTCTAAAAAGTTTACCACCTTAAATATCAAGTAACCTTGATAAAAACTCCCCCTTTCAATGGAACAACAAAAAGTGTCATAAATCCTTCTCTGTGGATCGTTGGATACAAGATTTGTTTAAAAACAACGAGATAGATAAATCCATTATATACTTATATTCTCAAACTACTAAGAGGTTAAATGATCATCACAAATCACAAACATCTGTATCATCAAACTCCATCAGGCACATATTGTCTACTCAATGGTATACATATTGCTTTGCATAACTTTGTTTAATATTCATAAGGCTTCATTTACAACTGCAAGGTGTCCCTTCAAAAAAACTATTTTTTCATCATTATTACTCAAATCTTTTTAAGGTCCTAGTGTGTTAGTAGTTCTAAGAGGTTTAGGGTTACTACCTTTAGGCCTTCTTAGTTTATCATAACAAAATGGATCTAGGTGGACAAGATTATCACAATAGGAGCATTTATAAATAGAACAATTTATTTTCTTTCTATAAAAACCTTTACTATGAGATCTATTTTGTTTAAATCCTAATCCAATATTATTCAAGGAAGGTCTTTGATTTGATAGAATCAAATTTAGTTTTTCTTTTCCATTAGTAAATTTACTTAGGGTTTCACGAAGATCTTTCACTTTATTTTTCATTGAGAGACAAGTCTCACATTCTCCAGCTTGGTTTCTAAGATTATCCATTTCATATATTAGTGTTTAATTCGTTACTATTTTCTAGAAACTCAATATAGTCTTTAAGATATATGTTACATTTTCCAATCTTATCATGTTAGTCAATTAACTTAAAATTTAATTTAAAGATTTCCTTGTATGTTAGTGTTTTTACCTCAAATTCATCTTCTCCGTGAAAAGGTTTCAAACAAAATTCTTCATCTTCTTTGTTGGAGGAATATTCTTTGAAGATTGTACTACTGTTTGATTCTTTGAGATTTATCATTGGTGTTGAGTCTCTAAATATATTTCTCGTTGAGAATTCTTTTTCATTTATTCTTTTTAATATTCCATTAGATTTAACTTCATCTTAATATTCTCTTCTTGATGAACTTTCTCCATTGGCCGTTGAATCTTGAGGGTATCATTCAATCACTGGGTTTTTCTTTCAAAGGAGACTACTGGAGTTGATTTTTCTTCTTCTTCGTCAAAAGATTTATTTGATTAATTTTCTAGAGATTCTTATAGGTTTAAGATCATCCCTTCATATTTTAATAGTTGAATCAACTAATTTAATTTCTCGATGATTTCTTCCTTCTTGGAATTTTCTTGGAACCAATAAACATTTTCATTTCTCGATTTAAGGATTAGATCAGGTTTCTGATTTTAA